ATTTCTTGACGGATCCTGCTCATCTTCGAACTCGACCGAGACATTGTTAAGACTGAACTGTGTAGAAAATTTCATCGCGATTGGACTCTCCTTTCAAAAGTTATCGTGTTAACGGCCGGACACACTGACCGATTCTAGAGTGTACTCACTTTTTGAGTACACAAAAAAATCCGGCATTAGTTTTTTTGAAAAGCCATTATTTCAAAAACAAGCATTCGTTTTAACTAAAATTTTCAGGCACCACGAACTAGAGCAGAAATTCAGTAAATCAGTCATAATTTTTGATCAATAGGCCATCAACATGAAGCACTCAAGTGTCTTCTTAGTCTCTCTCTAATATAATTATAGCCATAAGATCGAGTCCGAATCTGGGAATCAGCTAGGGAACTTGTTTAATCAGTGATGAACAGATTTTATGTTATATGATTAGTGGTTATCAGACTGGGATGTACTATCACAATATTGGATGAAAATAATTGTTAAAAGTTGGATCAACGTGAGTAACTATTCCTCCAAGCGACATTTATCGTTAAGATCATCAAAAGTAAGAATATATGTCACTTTTTTAATGACATCCGAATCATTATTTGTCATCGAATGATTTCTATAGTGGATGACGATTCTATCTATATTAGTGATAAGTATTTAAGTTTCCGAAAAACGTTATCGAATGAAAACGTATTGCCAGGATATAGGTTGATTAGTGACTATTAAGGATGATTGAGAAACATGTCAAATAATGTCACTCTTTCCTTCAAAGTAAGACGAATGAAGTTAAATTTCGCCAGGCGTTCTCATCTTCTACTAGGCTTCCAGACTCGCAGCTGTTGATGTGTGTTCGGAATAGACTACATAAACAGCAGCTACAACAATTCAGCAGGGGCAACAACTAAAAAGGTAGGATGACACTTTCCATGAACTATCACAGGAACTATCTCGAATACACGGTGTAAATAAATAAGTGGGATATCATTTCTCTAAATAGACTATGGTAAATTTCGAAAACTTTTGCAGCACTCTATACACTTCAAGAGACTAAACTTCGCATTAAGGATCCTTCCTCAATGCTTGCCTTTCATCCAACTAAAATTTATAGTATGTATACCCGTATTTGCAGCTTTCACTGGTAATGCACTGGTGGACAAAGGTGATTGAATGAGAGGCACGGGTGGTTGTATTTGTTTAACATGTATCGTGCACAATCCATTTCCTTGATCTATTTTATCCAAGACTTCAAAATAACTGCATGGTAATAATAAGACTTCACTTTCATCAGGAAAATGTGAATACTTTTGAATTATCTTTCCGTTCATACATTCAATGATAAACATCGTTCTATTGCCAGATTTTCCTAGGAACAAATCTGACTGTAGTACACCTAAGGCACTTGTACAAGATGTGAAACCCCACCATGTGAACTTCTTTCCTTTATCGAACTGGGCGCTTATATCACTTTTAACACCACGATATACAAGAAATTTCTCGGAAGGTAGTTTCCAAAGTGCTGTTAGTACCAATTTCAAGTAAAGGTAGTATGGTGTTACTTGCTCACGCTTTTCTGAACGTAATGCTGCATTTAATTGATGGTATAGACATGGCATAGTATACAAATGGACTGCAGCTGCTTCATCTAGAGTTAAAGAGTCATCCAACTTTTTGCAATTTTCTTTTGCAGTCCAGATGTAACTTGTTATATTGGATACCAAGTGTTCTATAGGTTTAACGGCTTCTTCTAATGAAACCAACGGCTTCTTTTCATAATTTTCCAACGGTCCTAGAGCTTCTTGTGGTTCATTATTTACATCGAGGAAACGCTCAGAAGAGCACTTCTTCTTGTCGTATGGATATTCTGCTGACATGTTAAGGAGAAAATTCAAAATACAAACTCAAATGTGAAATATGAAATGTGCACTGCGTATAATGAAAGTAGATAAGCGTAAGTCAGATGATAGATAACGGTTTTCTTTCTTTTCTTTACGTTCTATTTTCTTTATCGCATCTATACTGTGAAACTAAAGAAAAAGCGAGATAAAAACGGATAAAAGCATCTTACAAGTAAGATGATTGCTGTCCTCTTATTCTTTGTTATTTCAGAAGATACAAGGTGATAAGATGAGGATGACAGCAATAGTGTGAGTGAGATAAGTAGCCCTACCTAGTCAGGCAAGACCTTTAAAAAACGTGTATAAGGGTGTGAGTGTGAATGTGCAGTAAAAGAATACTTATACCCACCACCTACACTCCATCCACGCTGTAGGGTGTGGGTGTGGGTGTGGGTTAGTGTGGGCGTGGGTGTCGGTGTGAACTTGAGTGCTGACATCTTCTTCGAGCGCACCCACATCCTACTTGAAGTTTGCCACGAAAAATATTCAAATAATCCATTAGAATTAAAACAAATCGAAGATTTTGAGAAAGCATACAAATTTTCAGATGCAATAAAATGGAATCCAATGGAAGGCTTCGTCTATAAAATGATTCATAAGTCACTAGGAGTTGAGAGTGTCGCTTTGATATTTAAGTTACGATACTTTATGAACGATCTTCATAATCAACTTGCTCAGCTACAAATAGATTTTCTTCGTTTTTTATCACCCAATCAATCTATTCTAACACTTTATCGCGGTTTAAGAATGCCTTGGAGTGAACTTGAAGAATTGAGAGCAAACAAAGGAAATCTAGTTTCAACGAATACGTTCTTATCGACAACGCATGATTATAAAGTAGCGCGTTTCTTCTCTGGTGACGGAAACGTAGAAGCCGACGAAGTGTCAGTCATCTTTGAGATCCTTATTGATGTGAAAGCTAAACATTTGATACCATTCGAAAAGATTGATTACAAAAGTATCTTTCAGGACGAGGATGAAGTTCTACTTTCAATCGGAACTATTTTTGGTGTCAGTGAAACAGAAGAAATACGAAAACGCTTGTGGAGCGTCGAATTGGCATTAACACCAATGGAAGATGAACAATAGAATATACTAACAGCTCATTTAAAATCTAAATAATATTTATTATTATTATTATTATTATTATTATGAACATATTGAATACAGAAACTTAATTAATATTGATGTTGCATGTTGTATTAAAATTATATGTCAGACATGTATGATTTCTTCTCGATTTCTGGTCAGTGAGGGTGTGGGTGTGGGCAGTAACGTAAGTCAGTTGTCAGAGCAGGGGAGCGTAACTCTTTTTTTTTCTACTTTCATGAGCAAAAAAAACGGAATTTTCGAGAGCAGGGAGGGTGTAAACCCCTTTTTTCCTCTTAACCCTTTCCAGCCGGCTCTCAGACGCCAATGAATAAAAAAATTTTGCTTTGCATATTTTTTGTTGCTCTACCACATAGATACCAAAACTATGTTCTTCGTAATCAAAAAGTATTTTTGGGTCCAATGCCTGTATGTTGCCATTTGGCAACAGGCGGCCATCAAGGGTCAAAATGCTTGAAAAATTTATTTTTCGATTTCGATTATTAAAATGCACTAGTAGACGTCTTTCTGTTTATTTACAAAGTTTATGCATAAAAACATTGATTAAAATGTATGTAGAGGGCTTTCACGCAGCTTTTTCCAAATCAAAATCTATTATTGTGTAGAAAAACTCCAGTACGTGAGATTTGTAGTTTCCAATAAGTGCCGTAAAAAACCATAATTGGATTGAGTATGGATGTGACTGTAAATAAATGAAAGACGTATAGTAGGGCATACATTAATGCTCCCAAACGTCGATCCTAGCTTAGCTGTTACGCTCCAAACATAAGGAAACTTGACTTTTGCCAAAAAAAACAGACTTAAATCTGGAAAAAGCTGTGTAAAAGCATTCAATATACTTTTGAATCAATATTTTTATGCATAAACTTTGTAAATAAACAAAAAAACATCTACTAGTGCATTTTGTTAATCGAAATCGAAAAATAAATTTTCCAAGCATTTTGACCCCTTACGGCCGGCTGTTGCCAAATGGCAACATTCACAATTTCTATTGTCTGGATTTACTGAACAATTCAACTTAATAATGCAATATGCATCACATCTAAAAAGAAAAAAATACCACTAACGGTTTTCGATATGGAACCTATAACTGTGGAGAAAAATTTCTTTTACGATTGAGTAGCTTCTGAGGGTGTTCCACATAAACTTGGCCATATTCTCAGCGTAAAGTTCTTTTTTTATATTAAATGCCATGAGTGTCTCCCGAAATGTATTGTAATAATTATCGAATTGTTAAAAAACTCTATAACTTTACTATAAGTAAGCCATTCTCGAAATTTTGACTAAATGTTGCCAAATGGCAACATCCGGCGGTAAAGGATTAATTTTCGGAAGCAGGGGGCGTAACGCCCCACGCGCTCCCCCTATTTACGCCCTGGATGTGGGTGGGTCTGTATGCAGAGAACACTAGTCCTTATACCCACACCCACACCCACACCCACACCCTCGAAAACTCAAAATGATTTTGAAAAAATATTAAAAGAAGAATATAAATATTTTGAAGCAAATATTCTTCAAGTAAATCAACATATTGAAAAAAGATCACATTATATTCGATTGATTGGCCTAATTGTATGGATTAAATACTATCTATAATTATATACATTTGTGCTTCATAATGATTTACGTGAAGACTTTATGTTAAATATCGATCGTCTTTTAGCGCGAGATGAAAGTAAATTTGGTTCTACTATTAAATTATTTATTCTCAAACAACTCGTTCATATGACAAATAATGTAACATTGGCAGAGGTACGAGAATTATTTGCTCATCGTAATACCGTTTGGATAAAACCATTAATAACACGTGTTGAATCAATGAGTATAAATCGTGATCTTGTTCTACCACTACCTTTGTTTGAAGGGCATGATGAATATTTATATGTCAACAAAACTTTAAATAATTTCGGTAAAATTGATGAAATTCAAAATCTCATAAAAAAATGTCAAAACAATCAACAATTCACATATGGATTTTATTTATGGTTTATTCAATATTATTGTCGTTTTATTACACCAAACGATCAAATCGATCAACAATTCGTAAAAATCTTTTCAGTTGATTTCAAGCAATTATTAGTAGATACTTTCGAACCAATTGGATTTAATCTACTTATATCACTATGTAGCAATTTTACTGTTGGCTCCTACTTTCATTTACAACCAAACATGTTGAAAAAAGAATTATACAGCCGTTTAATTGCTCTTAATATTGTCGTCCTTTGTTTATCAACAAAAAACTGTAAAAAAATAACATATTTAGGAACATTACTATTTGATAAAAACCAACATATGCCAAAAAATTACGTCAATCATATACAATCAATATGTTTAATTGGTATGATAAGTAGTGATCCAGTTATAACACAAATACAAAATCGTTTTAATAGGCGTTTGATTCATAACGATGCAATGTTCATTTTTCGATGTTCTCGAGAGTGTCATTGGATGTTTTATTTTGAAAATTGTGGAATACCAAACGATCGTCGACAATGTCCACTTTGCCAAAAAGATATTGGTGCTTCTGGTTATAATCAATTGATTCAACGAAATCCTCCACAAATTCAGATGAATTTACAAGGGTGGGTGTGGGTGTGGGTGTGGGTTTTAAAAATAAGAAATAAATTCACACCCACACCCCACACTCACACCCACACCCACACCCACACTCACACCCCACACTCACACCCCACACTCACACCCACACCCACACCCACACCCACACCCACACCCACACCCCACACCCACTCCCACACTCACACCCACACCCACCCACACCCGTTTTTGCAGCCAACATCGAAGTACACGTTTTATATTTAGTTTGTAAGATGATGCTTACGTGTCAATAGAACTTTGTTGATCATATGACTTAATAAAGAACTAATAATGACTTCAGGTTTTCTCTTCAGTATTCGAGCTATCATTTTTATCATTCATTATAGCATAAAATTCAACCAATATAAAATAACCTGATGGTGGTTAAATAGCCATAGATACTTATCGTATCGCTGTTGTGTTTGTTAAAAATATTGCGATATAAAGCATTATTAAATTACAACTTCAACTAAAACTTCGAAAATCCAAAAAGTAATAATATTCTACTGTTCCTAACATATACATATATAGCAAACGAAAAATTAACGGTATCAATTGTTAATCGAATTACTGATCCGAAAAATACAACAAATTTCAAATAACTTGCACAGCTACATGTGTTATCGCCTTATTCAAGCACTGAATATAAAGATTCATATATTAATTGAATCAGAAGCTTATTATACAGTTATCCATCATCAACCTCGAAAATCCATTGTAGATTGTCAATTTTTGAAAAATCTCTTCCATGTTACAAACCCAGTGATCTATCATAGTGCAGACCTTTTTGTGATGAGCAACTGGAGGTGGCGAAACAAACACAGTGAGAATTGATTACGTCGCACCTAGGGGTGGGAAGTTACCGTTCCCAGACCGTTACCCAGGAACGGTAACGGTAACAGCCCGTTACCGGTTACCCGGGAACGGGGGTAACGGTCAGGCGACTTCCTTAGGCCCTATTTTTGAGAAAAAGTTTTTTTTTCGAAAAATTATTTTTTGGTGTGGATACAGAATTTTTTAGAAAAAAAGAATTTTTTTCAAAAAAATTTCAGGTGTTTTCGAAAAAATCTATTTGTTCTCAAAAAGACTCTTTCTGCATAAGAAAAAAATTTTTCAAAAAATAAAATTCTTTTCAAAAATAGGACATAAGGAAGTCGTCTGACCGTTACCCCCGTTCCTGGGTAACTGGTAACGGACCGTTACCCGGGAACGGTCATGGTAACTTCCCACCCCTACTCGCGCCCGCGTGTAACAAAAAGTTGTTTATGATGAAAGGGGATATCTGTAATGGATAGGGGAGCTGGAAAACCTAGAGTTAAAACTTACACTCACTATTTATCTTCGAAAAATATATGCCCCTTCAACATAAAACTATCATATTTACTTCTTTTTTTTTTGACATCTAGATTTATTGTCCCTATAATATAAGGTTGACAATGTGATGTTTAATAAAAGAAAATAAATAAATAAATAAATAAACTTTAAGAAAATCATAGCAACAATAACAATAACGCGAACAGAGATAAGAAAAACATATGATGATAAAATAATAACATTAACAGAAGAATAAGAGTGAAATGAACGTGAAACACTTAAAAACATAGTAACAATAAACTATGGCGACATCTTTTATACGTTATACATACAGTGAGGTTCTAAATAACAATACTATGGTAACACTCTAGATGATATACATATGTATACAGGGTGACCCAAAAGTAAGGAAAAATAGTATTTCTATTGATTTCCATCTTATAGATTGTTGGTTAGGACTGATATTTCTACCACATATACTAGGTGTGATAGATAAAAGATTGCGCATATGGACGGTATGTCCATGTAATAATTGATCCAAAACCATACATATATACAGATACAGTATATGCAACAAAAGAAAGCGTTTATTATTGCTTGTTCTCTTACAGTACTTAAACGTGTAAAGAAGGACATCTGGAAGACAACAATGCTAGTGGTTATCTCTTTTATCGACTGGCTTGTTTTTGATTCTCTTTACATTCTATGTTTTCTACATAACTCTTACTTGTCTCATATTCTCCCCACCATGA